GGAAGACTAGGAATAAAACTGGTATTAATGTTGTCATTGTTTTTTAATACCAGTTTTATTCCTACTGTTCCATAAACCACTGAGAGCGTTTCATTGTTCCTTTCGGTGGTTTATGGAAGACTAGGATTAAAACTGGTATAAATGTTGTTATTGTTCCTCTCAGTTGTGTATGGAAGACTACGAATAAAACTGGTATTAATGTTGTCATTGTTCCTTTCGGTGGTTTATTGGAGACTAGGAATAAAACTGGTATTGTTCCCCTCAGTGGTCTATGGAAGACTAGGAAGAAAACTGGTATTAATGTTGTCATTGTTCCCCTCAGTGGTCTATGAAAGGTAAAGAAGAAAACTGGTTTTAATGTTGTCATTTTCTACTTGTGTGATCCGTTGCAAGTTTCTCTAGTAATAATTAAATTTGACCTTATTTTATCAATGTAGATATTTTAGAGTAGTCAGTAATCTCTAATTACATATAGAAAGGAGGAAGTTATCGTGTGAGGCTTGTTTACTAACCCTAACTACACAATGAGCTGCGTGGCCAAGTCAGAGAATCTCATGTTTAGGCTACCCTAATTTTAAACTACAGATCAGAAGAAAAGTATCCAGTCTGAAACGGTTTCTCTTATTATCTCAAAAAGTAGAAAAAAAGAGGGAATAAAATCAGAATGTGAAAAATAATATCTAAAAAATACTTTTTATGTATTAATATGCGTATAAAAAAGATTTTGAAAATATCTTGTAAGTCCAAATTGACGAAATAAACCAAATACAGATACAGAAGTGTGCTGTTAAGGCAAGTTTTGAACATGTGAAATAGCTTTGGCTGAAAGTAGGTTTTATTAAATTTTACTTTATACAATATCCAATATGTTGTGTGATTTTTTGTTTTTACAGCAACCTTGGTTAATTAACTTTTACGGTAAATTCATTATATTTCATATATTTTTAACATTAAATTCGTTCATTCACTTTTTTTTTACAGTACATTCGCCTAAGTTTCAAAGACTTCGACCTGGAAAGTTTTGATTTTTGTGATGGAGACGCCCTCTCTCTTTACGCAGGACCACACACCAGAACACCCACCATAGGGATATTTTGCGGGAACGAACGTCCGAATGACCTCATTTCTACCACTAACGAACTGCACATTGTATTCCGTAGCGACTTCATATCTTCTGCTAAAGGTTTTCACGTATCTTATCAAACTGTATCTTCCAGAGGTAAGCAAGACCTACCCTTGACCAGCAGAGAGTTACCAACACATATAACACGAGTTTAAACTTTAGCCTGTGACATTTTCCATTTAATAAATTTTATAAATTATTTGTATATGATAAATTATTAATCCAATGACATTTATTTGCGACAAAAAGGTTATCAGTTGTAGTACGAATCCAAAGTGAGAATTTATATCTTCAAGAATGATTTTTTTAGACAATCCCCGGAGAGGGAGAACCTAGACGTTAAATAAATGATTAGTTTATATATATATACGTAACATTAAGTTGTATAAATATTTATAACTTAGAACGAGTCAAATAATGCAGTATGAATTAAGCTTTATGATTATAGTAAAAAAACCCATTGTGATACCAGACAGACAGACAGGCAACTCTGCTATATTTGTATAGATACTCATAAAGACAGATCTACACGAAATAGTTGTCATATGACTGTCCTTTTTTTTTACTGTCAATCATAATTTCTTAAAATAACGCATCCCAGTGGTAAGTTTAGGGACTTATATTGTTAAAATCCTGGGTTCGATTCCCTGCGGCAGACAAAGATGTGTATTATCGTTTAATTTGTTCAACCTACAAAGAGAAAAATATTTAGAGAAATAGAATACATAAAGGGAGTAGTGACTGGTGGAATTAACATCAACAACCGGAGATATGTAGATGTAAATGAAAGAGGAAAATACTATGAAATGGATATAATACTAAAAAAACCAAATCAACTGTAGTAACTAAGAAAAGATGTACGTAGAATCAATCTAACTATAGAGAGAGAACATCAAGTGAACAAATAAAAAATGATATATATTTAGGATACTGAAGATGGTAAAAGCGAAGTGAAAATTCAAAGAAGAATAGAAATAGCCAGTAGTGCATTTAACAACATGTCAAAAATATTAACATTAAGAAACATGAGACTAGTCACATGCTATGTGTGGTCAACTCTACTATATGGCACTGAAACGTGGACAGTATTTAAAGCTATGTGGATCTATAGTAGAGTACTGAAAATATCTTGAACAGAAAATACGACAAATGAACAAGTGATAAAAATGTTGAAAACTAAAAGAACACTATTATCAAGAAAATGTGACATATAAATAGAAGACAGAGACTGTTTCTAGAAGGAAAAGTGAATGGGACAAGAGAAAGAGGCAGACTAAGAAATATGTGGATGGATAACATCAAAGATTGGATGGGAACATCATATAGTAACTGTGTTAGAATGGTGGAAAGAAGAGAACACGACAGACAACCTGCTTCGAGCAGATAACACATGATGATGATGATGATTAAAGGCCTATAATGTCTATTACCAAATTGGTAAAAAACTAATGCATCTTTTAAGCAAGACAGAACAAATAATTTATTTTCATTGATTCTGCCATCAAGTAGATAAAATATTTGACTAAGTGGCTAGCTTAAGAGCTTATGGCAGTAGGATTCAAGGCTCGATCACCGCGGAACCCCTTCGTTTCATCTCAACCAAAATTGGCCTGAAAAGTGTTATTTTGGTGTTATGTTATTAACACAGTCGTGGAGTTGAAACTGTAATGATAAATAACTTAAGTAAAGCTTTAACCAATTACAGCACGTTTCAGACAGTTCTTTCAATACGTAGTTTTTCACGTGAAATATCGTGAATTCTCTAAGTAAAGGTTAATCTATGATAATAAGAATCTCCTGTCTGTTGCTAGTACTGTTCTGCGGAACTGGCTGCGCTAAAACTGGCAGAGGAATTCAGGTGGAACTCCCGAAAAATCCATTTCTACGTTACTGCCTTAATACTGCGAATGAGGGCTCAATTGAGCGCGGAGATTACTACCAAAATATATGAAGCCGACATCAAACAAAAGAAACGATTAATGGCGCCCGTAGCATGGGTACTTTAGCATCGGACAAACGGTTCATGTACTACGACTCAAAATAGTGGAAAAGCCCAGACTACCATTTATAGCAGTGTTTCTCAAACTATAGCTATCGCACTTGAAACAAGATTCGGGATCTCAAAAATAACTAAATATTCATGAACAGAAAGAAGACATCGCTTGCTTTAAAAATATAGTATTTCATCTAGTTAAGACTAACCACCAGAGACAAAGGAAAAGACTAAATTCACATTTTTAATAATTTCAGCAAGTTGTTTTAGCTTCAGATTATTTTCAGAATAATTATGTATTTTTATTACTGTTATGATTTTATCACAAAGATAAATGATATTTTGTCTATAGTTCTCAATTCTTCCTACAAGTCGACTATTCATACAAAAAAATCGTAAGTAAATTAGAATTAATAAATATTTAATTCAGTAAAATTTATGTCCAAAGCTCTGGCTGGATTTTTATCAGGTTGGAATAGTAGTTTAATTCTAAAAGAAAGAAAAAAAAGTTAGAGAATAAATGACTGCAGAGAGTTTCAATGTAATAACTGTAAAAATAAAAGTTATAGAGGAAAAAAAGAAAACTCCACAGTTACATAATAGGCTATCTCATATGTGTCCACCACAGGTGTCGAAACCCACATTTGGCTTTATAAGTCTTCAGACTTGTCATTGAGGGACAACTATAGTGAGAAAATTAAAATCACAAGAAGGAGACAATTCTTGTGCCATAAAATAAGTAAAAATATTTAAGTGTGGTCATGTTTACATCATCAAATAAGTAAAAATATTTAGGTGTGGTCATGTTTACATCACCAAATAAGTAAAAATATCTAGATGTGGTGATGCTTACATCGTCAAATACGTAAAAATATTGAAGTTGTGATCATGTTTACATCATCAAATAAGTAAAAATATTTAAGTGTGGTCATGTTTACATCATCAAATAAGTAAAAATATTTAAGTGTGGTCATGTTTACATCATCGAATAAGTAAACATATTTAGGTGTGGTCATGTTTACATCACCAAATAAGTAAAAATATCTAGATGTGGTGATGTTTACATCGTCAAATAAGTAAAAATATTGAAGTTGTGATCATGTTTACATCATCAAATAAGTAAAAATATTTAAGTGTGGTCATGTTTATATACTTTATTATCTCAGCTTTGTGTGAAGCGAATGAAATTCAATGCCGCAACCGGAAATGTGTATCACAGTCCTTCACGTGTGACGGAAAGGATGACTGTGGAGACGGAAGTGACGAAGCCACTAAAATATGCGGTAATCTTTAATGTTTTTGTTTCGTCTCAGATGTGAGTATAACTGTTTAGTTTATTTTAGTTAATTCAGAAAATGTTAGATTCTCATCTCCTTAAACTCCTGCACATAGCAATTAGAGACTTTAAATTACCTTTATTTAATTAACTAAAATACTCTAGCCTTTCGTTGTTTCTCTTGATACTTTTTAAGGCTTAAAAAATGTGTCTAGTTACGTAACGTGTAGAAATATATATTTATAGGTATATACAAAAAGTGGGACTCGTGACAAAGTGTATCGAAAATGAAGTAAGGTGACAAATTTGTAAAACGTGGGTCAAGTTTTACAGAGATGCAAATAAGTTCAATAAAATACTAGACGTGTAAAAAAAGTGGGTGTCGTTAATAGAGGTGTAAAAATGGGTCACGTTAATAACTGTAAAAAAAAAGTGAGTCAGATTAATGAGTGTATGTAAAATGGGTTGAGTTAATATGGGTGCGAAAGAGTTTGTCAAGTTAAGTAACGTGTAAAGAAACCAAGTTAAGTAACGTGTAAAGAAACCAAGTTAAGTAACGTGTAAAGAAACCAAGTTAAGTAACGTGTAAAGAAACCAAGTTAAGTAACGTGTAAAGAAACCAAGTTAAGTAACGTGCAAAGAAACCAAGTTAAGTAACGTGTAGAGAAACCAAGTTAAGTAACGTGTAAAGAAACCAAGTTAAGTAACGTGTAGAGAAACCAAGTTAAGTAACGTGTAAAGAAACCAAGTTAAGTAACGTGTAAAGAAACTTTTATCAACGATAAAAAGAAGCAAAAGGTTATTTAGGTATCAAGGTGGAATGATTTAAAAAAATAATCGTAATGTCATGATCTAGTAATTTCTAGAAACAATCGTAAAGTCATCAGATAGCAGTTTTTAAAAACAATCGTAATGTCCAGAAATATCAATTTCTAGTAAGTAATGTGTAAAGACATGTGTAATTCATTAAGTAGAGTGTCCAGGTAAAGAATCTATAAAGAAGTATGTCCAAGCAAGTAAAGTATAAACTACAGTGTCAGACAAGGAATTTTGTAAAGACGTGTCCGGGTAATTAACACGTAAGAAGGTGTGTCAGGTAAGTCATGTGTAAGTTTGATATTAATTAATTCCTAAATAAGCTGATTATTGTTACGTACAAAGGTGCTGAGGATCCAGCGGTAACAGTACCGTGCGGACAACCGTCCATTCCTCCACTTGAAGGAAATGGCGAAGACCGCATCATTGGTGGTCAAGAGGTTCGTCCGGGCAGCTGGCCGTGGCAGGCAGACTTACAACTCTTTCCTGTTCATCCCAACGGACACACGTGTGGGGGAACGTTGATCAACTCTCAGTGGGTTATCTCTGCGTCACATTGCTTCGAAAGGCAAGGACGTTTATCGTATTTTATTTGTTGAAAGAAACATAATAGGATATCTTGTTCCCTCCATTGATTTTATAATAGTATCGGGGTCATTAAAGTGACATATTATCATGTTCAGTCTACAAACATCGGTCATATAAAAAGAGGGAAGTCTTCTCATGATCATTTTGTTTTGATCCTCGTTGGTAACCTTATATTTAACAATAAAACCAAAATTGATGATGACAAAACCTTTGCTGTTATGTTAAACTCATATTAAAGTTTTTCTTCATTACTCATTCAAGCCGTCTTCGAATATTATTGAAACCAAAATTGATGATGACAAAACCTTTGCTGTTATGTTAAACTCATATTAAAGTTTTTCTTCATTACTCATTCAAGCCGTCTCCAAATATT